ACCTGCATTATTATCATTGAATTTGGTATCATTAGAAAGCCTGTTCATTTTCCTTCACAAAGATGTCCCGTTTGCAATGATTATGTGGAAGAATGTGGAAGAATGTGGAGGAATGTGCAGTACAGCTGAATATGCAGTACAACTCAAAACAAGAGTCTATATAAAGGAATATACACTTTTGATAATAGCAATGCATTTTTGCAACACTTCACCTCGAACCCACCCCCATATTCAAGTCTAACGATAATAATTTATTAGAGAAATTGATGCTGAAGATACCCCCTGACCAAACTAAATTCATTTTCATCACAAAATATAACTCCTCTGGTGAGATATTGCGCATGCGCTAAAACAGTGACATAGCCAGGTTATGTACGGAATGATATATGCAGCGGACACCTTACATGCAAGGTCTACTTCCTATTTCTGAAGTGAGGTCTGCTGATGAAATTTTATCATATAAATCTATGCTAGGATGACCCCTCTTCATTTTAAATTCATAATGATTAAAAAATATTATTTTTCCCGGGAGATATTGCGCATGCGAGATCACCGTTTTAGTCTATCAGCTATAGGTGAAATTCAAGATGGAGTTCAAGACGGCCGTCAATTCATGTAATTGACCATAACTCGCTACCTATTTATGATAGGAGGTTGATTTTGGTGTCTATCCCATGTTGTATGGGTCAGGCTATCCATTAAAACTGATACCCGTACCGAAAATGCATTGCATCATTGTTAAATCTAAGATGGCCGCCGAAAGGGACACCGTATCATATTAAACTGCTATAACTTCTCGCAGACTTATGATAGAAGGGTAATTTTCGTGTCTATCCCTTATGTTTTAGGGGTCTGGTTATCCACTGAGACTAATAACCAGATTAAAAACGCACTGCATCACCATCAAAGCTAAGATGGCCACCAAATATGACCGTCATTTATTGACAACTTTTCACATATCGCTATAATACTAGCAGCATTTACAGTATACATGATATTATTGGTAAGGTAACTTTAATACTGATCACTGTGTCCTTAGGATGCAGGGTTTCTGCAGTCATTGACTTGTGCGGTCTGGCATTTGCAAAATTCGCAACACTTGGCACAATTTTGTTGACACACGCACCTTGCTGTAGAACACTTCACACATGAACACACAACTGCAACATTGTCCGGCAAAGGTAGATGGAACCTACCTGGAACAAGCAAGCCATCTGATAATTCGAATTCAAAGTCTGTAGGTTCCAGAGTAAGGTCACTCAAACAGTTCATCTGACTATAGGTGGAGTAAAAGGCTCTGAGAATATGTCCTGTAGCTGCGTGGCTAGTCGGTGGCAAGTCCAGAACGGTCACAGACTTGCTGTGGGGGTATAGCCTATGTCGTAATTCGTCCATATTTTGTATAGTATGGTCACCATGTTTCACGACCTGTACCAGATATAGTTCCGATTCAGCTAGACACAAATTGTCCGAGTTCTTCCCGAAGTCCTTGAGGTGTGCTATTGGGTTCGCTTTGAGCGCTGCCAATTTGGTGCCAAATTTGCTTGTGATGTCAC